AAACAAGTAATCTTGGTATCTGTGAATACACACAAAGATTTAATAGATGTATTGTAACGATACTGATTAATTCTTTTGCAGCATATTTTTCTTTCTGTTCCCCACATTTATCCCCGTTTCTTCCTCTGTTACGGCTTCGCTATCTTTGTTTTTCTTCCATTGTCCTCCAAGTCTAAGTGGATTTATAATGTACATTAAGGACAGTATTAGCATCCACCCACTGTATATTATACATTCATATTCACATTATGCATGTTTAAAGTTTAAAAAATTCAAATAGTAAGTCAGAGTATGTTCAAGTAATCCCTGTGGGCCAAAAGCTCAGGCTTTCTGCTTATAACTCTTGGTCTTAACGCATGATGTAAAAGCAGCTATCCCAAATATGGTAATCTCAAGTACACAGCTCTGCCTGAGACTACAGAAATCTCACCTACCTGCTGTTCATACCTCTGCATACGAGGGGCAGCCAATCAGAAGAAAGTTGGCATTAAAACATGTTGGAAGAGAGCTCAAACCAGTCTGTTTTATACACTAAAGATTATTAGAATGATCGTAAACTGTGAATCATAAAAAGCTATATTCATTACGTGACGTAGATTTCCTGGAAATTGTAACTACCCATCGGGGTTGCAGTGGCTGAGGAGATACCACAGGAAGATTTCTGCCAGATTGGGTTCCACCTTCTAGGTTCCCACTCTAATGGAGATTGTTGATAATGGAGATGTCATGCACCAAGCTGCTGAAAGACTCAGTGTCAATAATATTACATGTGTTGTCAATTTGCTCATCAGAATTATCATGTTCTCAGTAAAAGAAATAACTGCAACACATTCATTGTTTAGAAACAGTTATTTCTCACGAAACTAGTGTCCCGTGGTGTTTGGAGCCAAAGCAAATAAGTGTAATTTCTCTGAAACAGGGGTGTCAGTAATGAGGTGAGGTATAATACATTGTAGGCAATTCAACTGAGCCTGGTATTCTGATTAGAATTGGTTTAAAGCTCCAAAGAGGATTAAAAGCACTCCATATAAACACCTCAATCAGGCCAAAATCGACCAAGCAGATTCAGAGAGGTGAAATAAACATTTTCATAAACAATTTTCCAAAAATGGCAACTTCAAAGTTGAACCGGTGCTTTGCAAAGAGCAAACTCTTAAAGACTGGAGAACAACACATGATGGTAGCTACTGTGCTGAAGAGGCGATAGATAACCATAATCAGGTAGCTGATAGCTGTTAAAGACAAATGAATGACATTTTCATCACTATTTTGCATGTCACACTGTTACGATTAAATGTGCCGGATCACCTGTTTAAATGTAAACAGAATCTTCAATCAGAGGATTATAAATCAGAAGGAAAAATGATGTATGTGTGTTCACACTGTGTGTGTACTAGTACACTGTCTCTTTTCATGACAAAGGAAATCCCATCCAGCCATTGATTCATCATCCATCATCCATCCATTTTCTTGTGCTCATTAAATGCTAAAAAAAAAGTCTAATAAGAGCAAATAAGTAACATGCAATACATTAATCCAGTGTACACTTTAACACATGAACTTACCCATTCTACAACAAGATTCCCTCTAATATAAATCCAGCTTTTTTTTCTTAGCTTCTTCCCTTCCTCTTCCTTGAGATATTGCATCCTTCCTTCCCACCCTCTGCTCCTCCTCCTCCCTGTTGTCCATCTTTCCCTCTGTCCCTTTCCCCCACCACTGCCTATTCTTCTTGGCCTTCCACTTCTGCTTTTCCTTGGCTTCTAATCCTGCTTCCACTACCTGCTTTCTCCTCCTCCGTCATACTCGCACCATTGTCCTCCTCTCTTATCCCTCTTTACCACCTTCTCTCATCCTCCACCTGGCTTAAGCTCAATCCATCAAAGAGCTTTAACGATAAAACGTGACCATTTTCCTACTCTTAAGTCTTCACTGTAATCTGTTTTCTTTAATGATACGTGTTTGTTAATTTGTTTGCGAACGTGGCGATGATAAACACGAGCAGCCTTTAAGTGTGCAGTTTTAGAAATGATGAAACTTTCTCCTGACATCTTGGGAGGCAAAAGAGGAATAATGATGCGGGGATGATATTTGTGAAAGTAGATGCACTCGGCTCTTGCTCAGAGCATGTTCATTCATTTACTATAACCATGCAGCGACTGAGTGACTCGGAATAGTAGTGTCGCTGCTAAGTGGAACAGAGAAGGGGAGCAGCTGGGCGAAATTCACCTGCCACTTCCAATGTGGATCAGAAATTGCACTCACACCAGCAAGTTCTTCTCCAGCAGTGGGAAGAAAAAAATTAAGGGAAACAGAAGGACAGAGCATGCTGTAGCCATACAAATCACAGACAGTAGATTGAATGGGGGCAGTGATGGAAATGGGAAATGGTCACATTCTTTGAGACCCGCTGTGTTTGATAGACAGCGTTTCATGGTCTGCTGAAGATGAGGCAATGGGTGTAACACACTGATTTACAGCAGCCGTAACACTGACAGAAGCCATAAGAGAAACTTAGTCTGCTGGAAGTAGTTTATTCTTTAAAATCGATGAAACACGAAGTAGAAGTGCAGTTTCATTATGTCCCAAAATGTTTAGCCAAACATCATGCAATATTTATTTGTATATTTTGAGAGAAATAAATGTTTTTACAATATATTTTATGAAAAAGTTAGTCAGGTTGGATGATCGGTGCCCAGCGTCCATAACTTTGACACTGACTTTGACTTTGTGCTTGCGTCCTCAGTGCCTGTGTGCACTTGGGTGCATGCAACAAAAACTTTGGTTTGAAGAAAGAATTTTCTATTCAGTTTGATACTACTAGAGAAAACACACAGCAAGTGGTTGGATTTCCCAAAATGTACTGAAATTCTGAGTTTCCTAAATTCCAAAAACAAGCTGGATTTAGCTTCAGTTCCGCAGCAGATATTGTTTAAAGTAACAGTTGGCAGCAAAAACATGGAGATAAATCCACAATAAACATTTTATTGTAAAAATTACATTTCCAAACTGATATTGTTTTAAAATACTCTCAATTTACTGTGTTATGATATATTTAGCTGTAGATCACTGTAATTTTAAAGTGTCACTTCCCCTGGCATTATTACCTGTTGGTAACCCACAGATGACTGAACAAGATTTTTTAATAATAGAATATTTGGTCTTGATTTTTGTTCTAGTTTCCAGGATTGTACTGTTGAAATGATTAGCAGTCATTATAATCGTTGTGCCACTGCATTTCCTCATCACTGTTTGTGTCTTCTCAGCTGATTTCAGTGTTTGCCCCCAGTGTGCAGTGACGCTTTCCTTCGCAGGGAGGCAGTGCTGTGTTATTCACACATTGATGGGAGCTACAATCAGGCTGAAAAGAGCCTGCATCCCAAAGACTGACAACAGATTGCTAATGTACAATATATAAACTCACAGATAATCACAAAGCTCCAAATTTTACAGAGCACCTCCTCTCCATCTGTGACCGACCAGCCCTACTTTGCAACCTCTGAGCCCATCAACATGGCTGCTGAAGCGGTCCCAGTAGCTGGCCTTGTCAGCACAAGACTAGAAGTATAATGGCATGCTACAGGTGAAATATGCTGTATCTGAAGAAGAAAGTACTTGATCTGCAGACTTATATCCCCGGCTGTTGTTTCTCTTCATGTGCAGAAAATAAAATCTGCAATATTGCAGATGAGGAATGTGGAGAGAAGATCAGAGAAGAACATCAGTAATTTCTTTTGGGAGACACAGGGAAAAAGAAAAGTTGGTGTACTGATAAGAACCTCATAGTATAAATGTTGTAAATATTGGGTCAAGCTACTGACAGAAAAACAGGTTGAAAAACAACAAATCAGACACAGAAAAATAGACAGCTGGTCAGTCATTCAGACAGACAGTTATACAGGAGGGACATGCTTCATCATACGCCGACAGAAAGTCAAGACAGCCATTATGCTTATACTGAAGAGCCCGTCGCTCAGTCGCTGACAGCAGTATATAATGCCACGCAGACAGAAACAATTCAGCAGGCCAACACACTGATCTCTGCACAAACTTGCAAGACAGGCAAGTAAACACTGTGCATCCCAGATCAGCTCATTTTAAAGGTGGCACAATCAGGCAAGCGACAGCTGGGACTGGCCATCAGGGAGAAATGTGGGGCCGCGCTGCCCCAATATATCCATGCAACATTAATATTTCAAAATTGTTTTTCTGGGAATTTATAGTCTGGCTAGCTTGGGTTGTTGCCCTCCATCACACACAGTCACCTAAATGTAGCAGTGGAGGTTTGAGATTTTTGTGTAAGATAATGATTGTTTAGCAGTCACAAAAAGGAGACAATGGCATACATTAGTGTTAGACAGTGTCTGTCTGTCTGTCTATCTATCTATCTATTAAAATGCAAGTTGATTCCATCCATGTTAATAAATCCTGCATTACAGCCAAACAAACTAAGAACAAACTATATGAAGATGTCATATAGGAGGAAGTATCACACAAGACTTGTGCTAAAATTCCCTACAATCTATGTGTTGATTAGTGTATAACATATCTCCTCAACTAACGTCGAAAACAAAAGCAGTCAAAGCAACGGGGGACGTTTTTTCAAACTGACTGATTTGTCCAAGTAATGAGTCAAAAATATTCAATTTGCTGTCGCATATAACAAAGAAAGGGGAAAAGCAACTTTGGAAACTTAAAAAAGAGACGTTACGCTTAAAAATCAGTCCAGCATAAATAAATATCCAACAAAAGCATCCTGTTTGACGAACAGAGCGTCAGATAGTGTCAGCAGTCACCTCTCGGTGTAAACACTGACTGGACAACATCATCTACATGCAGTTGTGGTCAGTGCGGTTTCCAATAAAGGAGAAGCAGCTGTGCGCCGTGACGCGCGCGCGAAAACAGGGAGAGAAAGACAGAGGGGGTGGGGGGAGGAGAAGGAGAGATAGGGCGCGCGACAGATCTCATCTCTCAAAATCAGCCAGTTAGTATCACAAAACACAAGAAGCGCAGGTGATCTTCAAACGTTCCGCTGTTTGCCTCCACCTTCCAAACTGACTTTCGCACCAAACTTCCGTCAGACGTCCAGCATGAGCGGAGGCAAACACCATGGATGTGCCACATGAGGCGGACCGGAGAAACTGAAACCACCGCTCAAAGTTTGTCTGTAGAAATCACTGTGACTCCGACTAAGCAAACAAACAACTTTATTCGTGTTTTTCTCAAAAACATCACTTGTCGCCTGCCACTTGGGATTGCTTGGATTCCGCGGTGTGTCTTTATATGTTCAGCTGGGGAGACGCGTAGCTTTTCGGCGTGGTCCGCTAAAAGGAAGGTGACATGCAGGTTCTCAGCTGGACCATAGTTCTCCTGAGCCAGTGGATCCTACGGAAGGTGAGTTAACTGTCATATCGAGAAAAGGGAATTAAATGTGTGTTGGTCCACGGAGATTTGGATGATTTCGTAGAGAATCGTCTTCCTTCTTCCTTTAGAGGTTTAGTTTCCTAGAGATCACTCACCTGAGAAAATGATGCAAGCAATAACCTTTTACTATTTCCTCGTAAGAAATCGCATTTTAACTGCGTAAATCCTCCAGTTAGTCTAACTTGGCTTAAAGTTATATCTTCAAAACACCAGTTTAACCACGAAACAGACAACAACACGCCTGTTTGGAGGCTTAATTTTGCTTTATTTGACTGCAGAAAGGGTATGGTGACTTTTGCCCGTCTCCAAAAGGCGCAGATTTCTGCTGTCTGAGCATTTCCCCTATTAAGAAGCCCCCTCCTTATCTAGTTATCTATTTGTGCTCTTAGCAACTTCCTCTAATTTTCCTTCTGAAGTTAAACGCGCCCGTGGCTTCTTTTATTATCTCGTCATCGCTATGGCAAAGAGTTTGTGCGCCTAGTTTGGCTGCTGCAGCTGCTGCTGTGTGTGGATGAATATGCGCGTGCACGCACCCGCGTGCTCAGTCGGCTGTGCACATTATATTAGAGTTTCTTCTTTTTTATTCTTTACACTGACTGTAATAATGCACAGACTTCCACACATGACAGAGTACAATACAGTACAACAGAATACAATAGAAGGCTGGCTGTCCCAGCAGATACACAGCATCTGTGCTCAGTGTGTCTTTGGCTTAGCTAAATAAAAGAGAATAAAAACATGACCTTTCACCATATTCTTCCTCTTCTCCCTTTTCCCTACCTGTGACTCCTTCATCTTCCTCTTCATCTTTGCTCAATTTAGTTTTTCTCCAGTTTGGATCTCTTTATCACTATAATATGCCGTTTAATGCGTCTGCAAATAGAGTTTTGGTTTTTGTTTTTAAATAAAAAACTGTGAAACTGTTTAATAATTCTTGAATTTTGACAAAACATTTTAATTTGCTATTTTTTTTTTTTTAAGTGAAGACTGTGAACTCTTATTAACAAGCAAATGCTGCTTGATTTAAGTGACAAAGTGTATGAAAAGATGGCAGCTGGGCTAAAAACCTTGAGTTCCAACAGATTTGCCTCGTGGCCGACAATAACCAATATTCTCTCCAAGCAAAAAAACAAAAAGTGACTTGTCTGTTTTGCAATTTTTTTTAAAGACTTCTTGCTGCTGGCAGATTGGGGTTAGGTTGTATTGTGACAGGTAATAGCCCCTGCACTTCTTTTGAAGATTGAATGCAAATCATTTCACCTGCCAAGTAGGACCGCTAAGGCTCATCGTGAGAGTGCCACTAGATTCAAGTATTAGGATTGACTTGGTGATAGATTGAATCAACCATGCTTTTCTGTAATGTGCCATTTGAAATTGTTGCGATAGAGATGAAGGAGGACAGAATCTTGTTTGTTTTCACCAACTATGCCGTGTAGATGATACAGTGATTTGGCTGGCATAATATGACAAGTTGCCTCCTTGGGAGCACTATTAGGTTGAGGGATTAAGGAGTGACGAGCTAAAGGAGGCAGTGAAGAAGTGAAGGCAGGTGAAAAATTGGGTAAACAGCGAGGAGGCATGAGGGAAAAGACAAGTCAGCAGAAGGAAAGAGAGGGCTACGCTAACCACACCTCTAACTTAATTTGACCACCTTTAATGGTCTATTAGAGTAACTTAAAGGGCTGTTTAAGTACACGTGTAAGTGCATAAGTGAGTTTGCAAGGGAAGACGGGGAGACAGAGCGAGAGAGAATCGGAATTCTCGCAGGATACCTTAAACTCATTTTATGGTTTTTGACAGCATTTAAAATGTAAAACCTATTTTGTAGATCATTTCCATAATATCTTTAAAATGAATTTGCTTTAATGTATTTGAATGGGTGGTTTTCATATTCATGCAAAAAAAGAAGAAGAGAGAAACCTAATAAAACAGTTGCACTTCCTTCATAATATGTCCTCTGCTGCGATATTATAATTTTTTCCACCTTGTGCTTTGAAATGATAGCTACAGTAACAGTACTACAAAAGAAGAAAAGACGTGTGAAAAGCTTCTTTGCTGTTTTATGCTCCCTGTAGAAACAATAGCATTAGCCAGCATCTCAGCCTGACAAAATCCTCTTATCTCCCCCCATAAAACAACTAGCTATATACCCCAGGGATATTTCAGAAACTGAGTTGCTTTAATTTCATTATATATAGTCCTACTTCCTTTGCAATCATGTCTCATGTATTCTGCATAGCTTTGCGTTTCCATAGTCTCCGTAAACGTGTGTGAGAAATGCAGCCGAGTATGTTTCCATGCCTCAAGTGCGTGCCTACATATTATTCACTTATTCGCGCCATTGTGGGGGAAAAAATCTGGGCTATCAGAAACAGCAGGATCAGATGATTTTCCATCAGGGATTAAAGCAGGTGGTTGGTGGTTTCCTTCCCACTTGCTGTCTTTTTGCCCATCCTTCTGGCTGTCTGCGGATCATGTGAACTGTCAAGCAGACAGGAGCCACCACTGGCCTGTAATCTGCACAAATTATACTCTCCATTTACAAAGCGATTAGATATGTAATCTGATAAAACATGATGACTGAAGCAATCACATTACTGCTGTATGTGTTGCCTCTGAAATTATTCCCTGAGATCAAAGAATTAACCTACAAAAATAGCACAGATTCATACTGTATTTTAATTTTTTTAATTTCAGTTCTAAGACAGTTTGCTTAAGGTCAACCAATGATCCATTTTATTTAATTTGATTTCTCCTTTTTCGACAGCACCATGCCCCATTTTTGACAAACCATTACTTGTGAAATGAGTCATCCCTTGCTTGATGCAGTGAACACCTCGGGCTTTGTATTAGCCTTAAGGAGAGGGAATTTAAATGTGCGAAGATTGATGTAAAATAAAACATTACATAGATTCTGCTTTGCATAAAACCACAATCATCATTGTTTAGTTGTTGGAGTGCACGTAAGACTGTAAATGCAAGCTTGATTGTATTTTGATCATTGAATTATTGCACTGTTTTTAAAATTTTGCAGAGGTAAAGTTGGGTACTAACAACCTTAAAATCCCACTAGTGTTATGAAAACTCTAGATGATCCACTTATAACAAATGGAGGCAAGCAGCAGGCAGAAAATCACTATAATGGTGCCAAAATTAAATTATAAACAAAGTGTACAACCCTCTGTTTGGCAGACAGCTCAGATACATGTGGAGTTGCAAGAAAGGAAGCATTATGTGTGAAATTATTGATAAGGCAATGGTATTATTTTTAAGATGCACGGAAAGAGAAAGCCAGAACATGCTGCAGATTCTGGAAAGAGCTGCTGCTCTTCTCACGGCTGAACAGGCCTTTGCGGGTGTTTGCTTCTTTCCCTGTCAGAGCTTTCAGTTTCTGTTTGACATGCAGATAGAAAAGATGACCCTGGGTCAGGCTTTCAGTTACCTTTCATGCACTGTGAATTTATTTTTCCAAAGTTTTTTTTTATGTAGTTTAATCCAATTTTCTTTATATAATGCAAAAATTATAACAACAGCTACCTCGACGTGCTTGCAACCTTTGAAGCCAAAGCACAACACAATCTTTAATATAATATTCAACTCTCAGTGCTGATAATTATTAGTTATAGGGAAATGGATGCAAACTGCATTTCGTTGCCTTGTACCTGTGACATGTGCAATGACAATAAAGTTGAATTCTATTCTATTCTATTCTATATGTTCAGTTGCTTAAGTAAGAGTTGTGATACTGACAACAGTCATGCATGCATGTAATGAGCTTCAAATAAAGTATTCACTAAAAGTGCTCATAAAAACGAAAAAGGATCCCAATCTTTTTTATATTATTCTACTAGATTATTGTTGCGCATGCATTAGTATTTAAGCAGGATTTTACTTTTGGCCAAACCAGTTTAATCTATACAATCAGTTAGTTTAATCAGTATCAGTTAATCCTATCTTTATTAACTGATCAGTTGTAGCCTCCAACTTTAAAGTAACTACAGCTGTAAGTTATTTATAATCAAGCAAGTTGCAAAAAATGGAAATACTACAGTACAAGTGAATCACAGAACAGCCCTGAAGTGAAAATACTCAGTTATATATCACTATCACAAGGGTTTATTTTCATGTAATTCTGATTTTACTTCACAATTTCCATTTTTGTGTTGCTTCATGTAATGGTAGTGTCATCACAGCTGGTGAATTTGCATTCAAACTTTGAAGACTTAATTAATTTTGCTGGTTCTATATTTTCTGCCAGTTTTAATTCTGAGGATAAAAGTATGGTCATGCTGCTAGTAGTTGATGCTATTTCTAAACGCTCTAAGTTACCCAAGAATAAAAACACCAGGGGAACTGATCCAGGTGAATTTCCTTAAATTCATATATACAACAAAAGCACGGGTCTTAAAAAGCACAGGTTTTGTGTAAGTGTGAAAAAATCTAGTATGGAAGCTGTTGTTGATGTATATTGGGCTGTAAATGGCACGTCAGCTCATTTCCTTACTTCATTCTGCCAGTCTGAAGCAGAACATGCAAACAGACTTTTTCAGTTGAAGAGAAATATCAGGGAAGCAAAATTCAGGGTTCCCTTAAAGTTCTAAAAACTATTTTTAAATAAATTTTAAATATGAATATTTTGCATGTGTCAGTCCTCTTTTACATGTACTGTTTTACACCTACTTAAAACCAAACTATATTTGTGTTACTTTGTGAATTAAACACATTTTCAAAATTCACAAAGTTTTTTTGAATAGTTATTAAACTCTCACTCTGATTGACACCATCATAGTACAATCTGTTCAACGATCAGTAACAAGGTAAAAAGGTTTAGTCATTAAGAGTGAAAAACTGTGAATACGTTGGAGTGCTATTTGAATGAAACGTGAAACAATTTTCCTTTTTGTTTAGTTGTTGTTCATTTTTTCTATTGTAGGTGAAACATTCAAAAAAAATTTGCCTCATCATTATCA